GTGTCTGACACCGTAAAGGGAAATTAAATGCCTTAGAGTTCAGCCATTTAATGCGCCTTTTTGACAAAGTTAAAGCTCGGTCAAAGGTGACTTGTTTGCCTCAATTTACTTTAGTAAATTGAGGAGAACAAGCCGACGTACAGGTCGCATGTCTGATAGCAAAGACTTGCTTTTTAATAAGAAATTCCCCATTAAGTTTTATAAAATGTAGAGCCAATTTTCGAGCGGCAGTTTTTATATGCGAGCTTAGTTAGATGGCGCTGCCATGATTGGCGAGATTTTCTGAGCTTTGGCCAAGGTTGGTTTTATTAAAGTAGTCGATATTTTCGTAACTCGGTGGAAGCCTGTTGAAATATTACATACACATTCGGGCTTCCAGGATTTTGATAAAAAGTTATGAACTTCTATCAATTTCTAATTTTTAAGCGGATATTGAAGTACATCCGATACATTTATTATAACGTGTCGATGGCGCCCCATCATAGATTTCACAAAAGTTTCTCTAAATCGTCACGAAATCCTTATCTGACATTTACTAACACTTTTTGGCTGTTCGGCGCTAAAATTGATCGGACTCTAATTTCAGAGCCATAGTGACAAATTTTCATTAATTTTATGAATATGGTAAAGATGAATGGCATAAATTACTTACATAGAGACGTACAACTTATGAAAATGAAGCAGAAATAAATGCGATTGAATAAATTTGACACTATGAAATAAAAAGTACACTTATGCCCAGTTGAGTAACGTTGAATAGTGGGACTAAAAACTGTAGATAGGATGAAAAATCTGGGGCAAAACTAATATTGCAGAATTAATTTTAATGGCCGTTTTCCGCTGAGTTTTGGATCGTTTAATTTTTCCCCAGTAAATTAAGGATAAAAGATCTCATTTCCACGAAACATTATATTTATGGGAAGCGATTTTAACAATAGAAGACGAGACGGAAACTAATGAATACCGAATTGATGGCTGGAGAGCCTGTCACTTGAATATTACTGAAAGCGAGAAAGGAAAACCGAGAATAGCACGAAATTGTTATATCGTCCTCAAATTCTCCCATGTTATTGTAAACTAGTATTAAATATTTATAGATCTAGCGACCGACATTATTTCAGATATTTTCTTGTTAACTTTCGACCCGGTCGTCGGAGAAACGAATTTTTTCGCGGCACGTTTCCCCCTTTGTCTTAACGGCTTCCCATTTCCATTACAGTTTTATCGATCTTGGAAGTATCTCCGTTTTTCTTATATTCCCTACGTGCCCGCTAAGGCTATATCGTCGCTATATCTTATTATACCGAAATGGAAAAAATGGAATGCAAAAGTTTCTTTTGGATTTGATCATAAGAAAAACGAAATTGAACCGAAAATAAAAATCGGGAAAGCGCATACAGAAAAATACGCCGCTATCTGAGTCACAGTCTTCATCTGCTTTAACATCTTTAATATATATTTTCATTTCGGACGAGCGTTTTATTAAATTGCTCCAATTCGAACTGAATAAATCCAGCGATGCAATTTTTTTGACTTTCAAGGCGGTAAACCTTTGAAAAAGCACCCTTGTGCGGAAGGAGAAATAATAAAACATTAAACTAACTGAGCCTTCTAATGGTCAAGTCAATATTTACCCACAAACAAAGCGCACCTTTCGAATATGAATTAGAAAAGTAGTTCAATGTGTAACTGAATAGCCGACAAATAAATTTGCTGGCATGGCTTTTTTAAATGCCCGTCAAACTCTATGTGGATAAATTCAAAAGTTAATATTTACATAATAAGATATAAAATTACTGGGCGATTACGTGAATTAAAATAACGAGTTTTAAAGTAAAACAAACTTACATGATTTAGAACGGGAATTAACTAGAGGCGTTCTCATCCGGTGGTCGATCGGGAAATTGGTCTCTTTTAAAGAAACTCTTTGGGTTTATAAAGAATATCTTGTTTTGGACTCTATAAAGTGCTAAGTGAATCACGCCCGTGAGAAATTTTGAATAATTTAAAAAAAGTTGTAATGTTTAAAACTGCTAGGATTTTCGTTATTATAAACTCAAACATACATGGACATATTCTACACATCAAAATTTTCGGAAAATATCGAAAATATTTTCTTTATGAACCACATAGTTTAAAATAGTCCTTGTTAAAATATGTTTTATTTTAGACACTATAGATTTAACTGCAGCCGATTATTACCTAAAATTCCAATAACATGTTCAATGCTAAGTAGTTTGGTACTACAATATAATTCCCATATTTTTACGACGCAGAGTGCGACAAGGCCGCGATCAAAAAATTGTTAAAATCCCAAGTGCATCAAGTCAATAAACCGCCGGGTTAATAGATACAAGAGAACGAATAACAACTTTAAAATGAGTTTTGTGCAGAAGATGCGGTGAGAGGAAACAATGAAAGACTAATCAAGAAAATATCCGATTGGACTTCAAAGTGGACAAGAATAAGATCGGGGCAATTGCAATGGGAAAAAAAGTATATGATATTTTCTTATCATCTGAAGTGGGCTATTGAACACCCGAAATTTACGATAGGTGTAGCAATAAAATTCGGTTCAGTCATTCAACCAATTTAGCAAATATATCCGGCGTATTATTGAAATCTGATTTTCAAGCTGGAGAGTGCAAAATTGTGTTTTAAAGCGGTGGAATAAAAAATATTCCGTTTTAAGCTGCCTATGAGAACCAAAAAACGTGAATCGATTGTCGACTACTTATTAGACTTGCTATGAAATATGGGGTTTTAATGATCAAGCTAATATTTACAAAAAAATCACCCCCGTTTTTTACCATGAAATACTAAGTTTGAAATAATTGCTGTTTCTGAATCGTTTTCCACATTGAAAAATCGCCGTCTGTTATTAATTTCATTTTTCCCATGTTATCTTTGCTGATATGTTCAGGTGATGTCAACTATTCATAATAGCACATAGGCATTTAATGAAAGCTTCGAAACTAGGTATGATTTTTGAGTTTCTGCTACAATAAATGAGGAATTGTAGGCCGTTTTTTTCGATCTAATCGAGCAAATGGGGAAATTCGATTAGATATTTTCTAACCGGCTACGTATAAACTTATTCAAGCAGTGCCCTTGCCTGTTTACACGCAATATGCTAATTATGCCATTATCTCCTTACATCATACTTGAATAACTGATAATTGCTTGGCCAAGTTTAGCTAGCGAGCAATTTTTAATATCACAGTCTGAAATAATTTCCAATACACACTGTGTATTTTCAATGTGTTCGGCTTTTTTAACGGAAGATTCAGCCGGTTGATTTCTCACAAATATTATTGCCAGATTCCGTGCCGACGAATCATTCATGTTTTTACACTCGCACTAATGGCCTTAATAAGCCACAATTCCATTTTTCCATCCCAATGACATCGGTTTATAGCTTTTGATTAGGTAACATCAAGAGTTGTTAACTGATTCCAGAAATGACATCAAATACAATCATTTTCATAATTATTTTACAGCCCACTGAACAACTTAATCTACTTTAAAGTTTGTAATTTTAACTACATTATTTCGCCATTAAAACCTATACAAGTATGATTTTCCTGTAATCAAATCCTTCGTCTAGTACATTAGAAACCGATCGAAAATTAAAGATTTTGGTTCAGCATATTTTCTCACATCTTTTGTTAAATTTCTGCCAAAATAAACTTTTGGTAAAGTAAGGAACCCCCATTTCAAAACCTTTCCCATTTTCCCCTAAAATGAAGCAAAAAAAAATGGATAACAATCTTGAATACGCGCTTATTATCGGAAATGGGAAACTATTTTCCAAAGTGGAAAATGTAACGGCTAGTGTACTATATCAATGTACTTCGTTCGTATCAACAGTAAATTAATTTTAGAGACGTGAAACTGTGCAATTTTATTTCTCGTTTTGGAGGAAACGTAAAATTTACCAGACTTCCTCTATCCGTTTTGAAAATTGTTTCGATTTTCCGATAATATTCCTGTTTCAGCACATGTAGATTTGATTGCTGTTGCCAAAAAATAAACTTACTAATCGGGATGTGAGAGACTGCTTTCTTCTCGATTATGACATTTATTTGTAATAATTTTGGTTTTAAACTATTGGACACCAAACCCTTAATGATCTAAAGGACTACTTCAACATAAATTCCGTCGTCGAATAAAAAAAAAAGTCGTTTCCCATTCTCCAAGAATCGATAGTAAGTCATTGACGAGGTGAAACTTTCTAAAGCAAATAAAACATTCATCAGTTCCAACCAACAAGTTCATTTGCCAACCATTTTGTTATACCATATATTTCAATAACGAACTATAAAATCACGCAATAGTTGCTAAAGTAAATTTAGATCCAACTTTGAAAAACATCTTAACGCGCGGCTTGGGTTATTTCAATTAAGCAACTTATCTAAAAGTCTGTAAGGAAATTGAAAGAAAAAGAGAACTCCAGGTTTTTATAATTTCCGGAAATTAAAACTTGTTCATGCAGTTTAGCTGATGTTGACTTGCTTCGGACATATTGCAGATGATGGAAATATAAGCTGAAAAAAGAAGTGCATGTTCGTTAGGGTGTCCTCCTTCCTTCCAGCATAATTGGTTTAAGAAATAAGGCAAAACGTAGCACATTATTTAAACATATTTAAAAGTTGAAAGCGATACCACAGCGAATGAAGCTTTTAGGGAAATTACTGCATTATGTCCAATATGTATTTGCTTCTGCACTAATAAAATTTGAGCCTTTGCACCATCATAATTATCAAAATTCCACTGAGGTGAAATTCAGATTAATGCTAATTGCATAGTTAATGGGAACTGAATTCGAACAGTTTTCCTCGCCAAATCTCTTCTCATGTCATGTAACAAGAGACTGCAGGCCCTGTAAATCCCTAGTACCGATTCCATTAACATGCAGAATGTGAAGCGAAATACCATTTCCTATCCGATATTTCGTTGCAACAACAACAAAATTGAAACATTGTTGCATTTATTTTCAGGATCGAGTACGAAAGCCACTGAAGCGATCCTCAACTGCATAACCGCACGCCAGCTCTGTTTTAACGACAGTTCATGTTCTGCTATACTTGAAATTATCCCCCAAGTCTGCGGACCTGAAGTGGGTAAGTAATAATTACTTCAGCAAAATACTGTAAGACGTAGGTAGTGGAATTAATTGAAAGCAAACTTGCCTAGCTAGGTAAAGTGCGCGCTTGCAGCAACCAGGTAGGGTACATTACAATTTTACCGAATTAATTAATACTAATTAGGAATTTGCTGTGATTGTTATTTTTACTGCGGTCATAAACTATGAAAAATGTCTGTGCAGTGTTTGGTAAATACAAGCAGAAACTATGCAATTTAAATGTATGAACGCTTCCTCAGCAATCGTTTCTTTGCACGGCAATGAAACTTTAATATATCACAACTTGAGACAATATTGAGGCTTGATTGCGGTATTGGAACAGTCTCTTAATTAGCTCCGGCAAATAAATCCACCTAGGAAAAATCACACGTCACATTACATCGAACTAACGGGCGTGAAAAGCTTCAAATCCCAACAGTGTATATGATCTCGTATTAAGTGTACCATCAACCCCGTCTAAATATAGTTAAACCTAGAATATCCATTCATTATACTTTCAAACTTAACGATTTCATGGGATTATATCGGGGAAATTATTCAAGATTTATTACGTCAGAGAGTCAATTAGAAAACTTTCCCGGGGAAAATATAAAAATGAGCTTGCACACCACATTACCTAGCTTTAATCAATAGTTCTTTTACGTCGTGTAAATAACTTGCCCTTATATGTTGAGGCGATCGATTAAATCTGCTTAGGAATAGCCAGAGTCGGTCCAAGTAGCTTTTGATTAATTGTTCGTTTTTATCAAATAAGCAGCTTACGTTTTATGAACAAAACGGTGTTGAAATATGTTGTCTTGCTTACTATTTGTCAGAAAATTTCGGTTTTTGCAGCTGTGATTTATTTCCTTTAAGGTACGACTTCTGTATTATTTAGTCATATGGCAAAGTATTTAAATTCAGGAGAAGCTGGAGAAAAGTTGAAGTTTTGCGAATCGAAAGGTGGTTTGTCTTTAAGAAAAAAACCGACACATAATTTATTAAATTTAGACATTTTTTCCTTATGTAGTAGCGTTTATGAGTTGACCAAGAAATAATCCAAATATTTATCTTCTTAATTAATGCAGTGTCCTTTGCTTTTGAAATGCTTTCCTTACTACGTGTTGAAAAATGGAAGAATATGGTTTTAAGGCGCCTCTATACTATTTCAAGTATTTGGAAATGTTTTTCTAGACTTTAAGGACTGCTTGCTGCTGCAGCTAACTAATTTTTTTGGTAAATCAATTATTTTCTAAAAGCTATAAAATTAACACAAAATTAGAAAACCATCAATAAAATTAACCCATATATTAATTTTCACCCCATTTCGATGCTGATTAATTCTGTTGCGTGAACATTTTCGTCCGCATATACATGCTTGCTATGCATATTTGTAAACCCCGATCTTCAGGCTAAGTAAGTTTTTCATCATGCCTGCTTCAGGGACACTCTGTAGAGTAGAATTTTTCAATACAAAATCGAAAAGATATGCAATACCTATGTACTTTAAGCAGCATTGGGAGAGTTCGATTGAGAAAAAGTTTACAAAACAACAAGGAGGGAAAATTTGGAAAGCTGAATTAATCTGAATTATTATTGACCTGAAATGGCACTTACATCATCGACGAGAAAAACAATTTAAAAACTTGCTTTACCAAGCGAAAAATTGAGAAAAAAAATGGGCACGAAAAGCAACAACATGCACATTCAACAAATCAAGCAACACTTTAAATGCCATTGAAAACAAAATTGAAGGATAATCAATATAAAGATACAATGCGATTAAATTAAAAATGTTCGGAAGCACTAAAGAACGCAAAGTATCATCCTCATTCTTGATTCCAGCAGAATATTAACTGTTTCTATTTCAGTTAAGGCTTTAATTGTGAATGCAATGAAACGTGAAAGAGAAATTTAAAACTTAAACATTGCGAAAGGAACAGAGCAAATTAATAATATTAATCACAACTTTTAGCACTGTTTTCCTGAAGATTCTGCATTTGATGCGAAATCATAGTCACATATGCGTTCACTCGAGAAAAGTTTATAAAAATTGATGTTGCATCATCAATTATGAAAAAGAGACCGTAATAGATGGTGGAAGCTTTCCAGAACGCGTTATATATAACTTCTCGTCTTTGCCCAGGAATAACGTTTTGGTAGAGATAAAGAACAAGTCCTCATGCTAAAGCTAAACCTGGTCTAAGCAGCAGTAGAAAACAAATAACTACAAATTTTCATCTAAAACTACAAAAAATCATTCGAATTGACCGTTCAGAAAAGTAAATCGTTCTTTTCATCACTCAACATGCGCTTATCAATGAAAAACGATCCCGAGTCAATTATTCCACATGATTATTAACGGTTTGGCTGCCTGTTTTTTTTTGATGAAAATTGATACCAGTTTTAGGTTTTTTCCTGGAGCACAATATCTGAAGCAAAACCATCATTCATTGAGCCCATTTGAGTGCTGCATTAGTCTTTTTAGCCTCACATCACACACTGCTTACAAGAATGGATCCATTACCTTCTCTTATATTAAGCCACTGGACCAAATTTCAACACTTTGCCTACCCTGTTGTTCGGCACGTGTCGCTTTCTATTCACTTTTCACTAGATTTCAGTTTATTTTCGGTTGGGTAGCGAGATTTTTCATCTTTAACTCAGTAACTAAAAACTGAGTAACAATGGTGACTTCAATTTTTTTAATTTCCGGTCTATGAAGTACAATTTTGTGTAATTTTCTTAGTTTAATTTCCAGTTCTTCCAGTAATTAAACCTGCACCAATTGATACCTTGATGTTCAGCTGTCCTATTTCAGAAGACGAAAGCCTCGGCAAGTTACCATTTTGTCAATTTGCAAATTAATTCAACATTCACTTTTTTTAAATTTGTTTTTCTTAAAATGATTGCGGCTTTCCTCGCAAAAGTTTCATCTAGAATTTAAAGATATACATTTTTTGAATTTGCTACCTTGAGTAGAGTTTTCACACTATCAAATATCGACGTTAAACCATCTTCCCAGTTTAGTTATTATAATTCAAAACCAAAAATTTTTTGCACTCCACAAAGGACTTTTAATGTTTCATTTATATATTTGCAACCTGTAAAACCTGCTTCGTTAAAACCAGGTGTTTCTCTAGGCTCAATGGCATTCTATATTGAAATTCAATCTGTTTCTCTCAGCATTAAATGCTTCTTTAAATAGATTTTTGAGTGCTGTTGAGTTAAGAAAGTGTCAGCTAAATTACGAATCAGGTTTCGGGCACTTGGCATTGAACACTTTGGGGTGCAAAATTGGATTTTTCAGAAATTAATCTTGATTAAAGCAAATTAGACTTTGAAAGCAGACCCACATAATTTGATGTCTCTCAGGCAAAACCCATACTTTTTACTCAGTTTGGGTAGCTTAAACTGATACAGAGAAATAAATAGAAGTGTTTCGCTCAACCCGTAAATACCCATCTCAACTTTAGTCCTAGACAAAATATTATTTGATCCTCTGGGACCAAAGTGTTTATGATAATCTCGCTACGTTGTTACTTGAGAAAATGATGTCGGCATTAGAGGAATTCTGAATAGAATGTAACGAAAATGTTTTGTTGGTATCATAAATCAGTTTGTCCCGAAAAGCGACCAACCATGCAAATAAAAAGATACATTTTGTATACTCCTGTCTGTTTTGATTTATTCGCTATTTTATTACGCTTATCTACAAATTGGCACCATTTTCTGTATTGATTTCTGTTCAAGTGCTATAATGGATACGAATCAACATTTAGTGAATTTGAACATTCGATCGACTCTAGTTATCATTTCCCAGACCAAGGAAAAGTTCTTCTCCCAAAACTTTTGCAGACATAAATTCTAGGGAACAAAACCGGTCGATGTAGATATTTTCCTCAACTCTGCATTAAAGTAATGACACATTTTTATGTTTTCCATTCGGACTCGATTGAATGCTTCTTTCGATTATAAACTTTAGAAAACAACCCAGAAACGTGAAACCTCAAAGCAAAGTTGTCACATATCGCTCCGTTAGAACCTTTGATGAATTTTCGCAAAACCCGGTCAGAGATATATTTCGGTATTGCCTCGATGACACCTGAAGGTTGCAACGGGCTGAAACATTGTGAATAATTAAAATTGAGCGGACAAAACATGTTCAAGCCAGATGGAATATTTTATGGAAATGCCATAAAGTGTCCTCAGTTTTACTGCGACCATTTTATCTATCACATTTAGGATAAATGAGCTTTGAAATAACTTGAAAGCCCCAGGTGGTTATGAGCTGAATGTCCTTTATTTGTCTGAATTTACGCAAACATTGACTAAATCTCGAAATCAAATTTGGTACACTCTGTATACAAGATAAAATAATAAAGCAAGAAGCCCGTTGGTGATTTTTCTTAGTTTTCCTGAGATGTGACCCCAGAGACAAAAAAACAGCTATTACAATTCTTCAGCTCTGGACATCGCTGGAAAATCCTGCATTCAATTAACGACATAAAACTTTCTTGTAAGTCGTTTTCCGTGACGGCTCTGGCGGATAACTTAACTTTTACTAGAAGGGGTCGTTTTATTTTAGTTCTGCTCTATGCAAATTAGCATTTCGGGTGGTCACGTCCCGCTGAAACTGTTTATTTGTGCTACTTGTGTACGGTTTTGCATATTAAAAAGCCTGTATTACTCTTGCATTTGATTCAAAGGGACACTCGCGCTCAACTTGTTAATCAGATCGTATCTTTTTGTACGCCTTGAAAGGTAGCTTGAGGTCAAGAAACGGCGTAAAACTGCTAATTGGAGTTGTAAAGGTTTTCTTTTTCAGTTGTAAATTGGTCTTTTAGTGAACTTTAACTTTTGCTGGCAAACATGTTGAATTGGTGCTTATTTAGACAGTGTTTTGAGCAATTTGTAATCTTTTATCGGCAACCAATGGATTATTGCACTTTTAGGGTCGATAAACGTCGATATCCCTACGTCGCAAGCCCTACAAAATCATTCATAAGATGAAATTTTAAATAGTTATTTATTATCAGCTTGTGAGTTTTAAGGCTTACTAAACGTCTGGAAGAATTTATTTTCCACGACGACCCAAAAACCCCGAAAATAACTCACCATTTTCAATCAATTACTATTCGATTAAATGCCTGGAATAAAAATTGAAGTGGTAAACTATTTTAACTATCTGCTGAAGTAGTCGCCTATTTTTCTAGTTCCTTTGTCGCTTCCCGGATTCTTATTATAATCTGTTCTATATAATACTCTGTTTGCCCCCTTTGTTAGAGCGAATCGAGTACATACAACAATACCAACCATTAGCAAAGACGTCCGGTCGAGACGCTATATTATCTGCTCTAAGAGCGTTCTTTTTCTTATTTAACTCCACTTTTAGCTTTTATACAAGTTTAGTTAAATTTTCAAAGCCTAAGATTTATTCAAATAGGATAAATGACATTCAATTAGATCAAACTGCTGCTATAAGACCGATTCTGAATAATTTTCAGCGTTCGATTTCGACTGCGCAATTAATTGATGTTGTTTGCATAAACTTGAATAGCCTAATTGACTATGATGGTGCACTAAGAACGAGCCGTCGGTTTTATTGTATGCCTGATTACATGAAGTCCCGATTTTCCAATTCTGAATACATCGATCTTTCATTAATCGAAACCTGTGGGAGATATTACCAAAATTGAAGAATCTTGACCATGCTAAGAACGGCACGTAGTTGTAAAGCCTGCGGTCTTGAACTATGCCATTAGGAAGCTCATATTAAATTGGAAATTTGGCGAAAACACTAATTCTGATATAAATACTTTGAAACTCTTTATGCAAATTGTTGCAAAATGCAAACGGTGTTTGACATCCGAGTACTTAAAATCTTTTGGTTGCGATAGTAAACACATGATTGATTTTTGATTGAAAAAGAAAATTAAATAATTGCAATAACAATAAAAAACATTATTTGCCTGTTTGTATGACTGTTTCCCTTTGGAGGACTAAGTATATTCTATAACTTATACCAATATATCCAAAAATAAAAATCGCCAAATTGGTACTTCACGATTGAAGGTTTTGAGGTCTTTTAATAGGCAACGACTAACATTCTTTTTGCGTCCACTGATACTTATCGAACGTTTTTAGCTTCTAGGCAAATGATCGCATAAGTTTCTCAGGCATGATTTTAAAAGTTTTTGGGGCAAAAACATAAAATTTTCTGAGGTTGAAAAGATTGTTTCTTTACGCGCTTGATCAAAAGGAATATTTAACTGTTTTTCTATTTAATATATATGAGATTTTAACATTTTTGAGTGCCCAAATTGTAAACTTTAATTTATATTAAATAAAAAGGGAGTCAAGTTAAATGCAAAGCAAATCATAATTTATACCGTTTTATTCTCTGAAAAAGGGACATCGAGCCGACTAATTAGCCCGACAAAAATCACACTAATCCTCATTGGAAGAAGTTTGGAAATAGTCACTATTAAACCCGCTTGAGCTACTTAAAAAACAAAACCTTAGAATTATATGGCTCAAAACATATTTACCGACAAGCTCTAACGCAATCTTCCGCTCCTCATGCGAGCTATTTCCAGCCGTTTCAAAGGTATACATTTTACAAATTTTTGAAGGCCCTTAAGTGCGTCACAACTCGTAAAATGTTCCTTTCAAAAGATAGCTTTTGAGGCGATGTATCTGACAAACTGTACTTTGATACATGTTGACCCTGAGGGTTTTATAAATTGTTAATATTTTGTAAATTTGAGAGGCTCTAAAGGGACGAAACTCTGCTGACGCCTTCCTAACGACCGCCAATAAACAGGGGACGAAAAAATGCCCCAAATATGTGAAAAAACGTTATTTATGTATTTTTCATGCTACTACTTTTTACTGAGTGAGACTTAAAAAACATTTATTTTGGAACATTTCAGGACTATTTTTTATTGTTTATTAATCCGCAATTTCCAAAATCGTTCTTCAACAGCAGCCCGTTTTATCTCGTACAAAATATTCGTTTGTAAATTATTCTTTAGGACCCCCGTACAGCGTAAATGCATTTGCAGCTGTTGGTTTGGCCGTAAGCGTTTATTCCTGAAAAACAATTCGTTGTGCTCAAATTTGCCATTTGCGTGGACAATATTTCTACATTAGAGCCTTTAACCACTCGTAACAGCGCTTCAGGAATATTTGCACAACCGTTAACAGCCTAAATATCTAATGCATATAGAAAAGTTATTCATATAACAAACACTTTCCAATTAATTGAATTGTAAACAATTTCCAGCGTATGAGCGTATAATTTTATAATTATCGTTACGATTATTGTTGAAATGAACAAACGCAACTGAAGCGAAATGAAACTAGGGAATGAAAAAAGGAGTTAAAAGTTCAGTGGAATCAAGTCGAGCCACCAATTTCAAGTTACAATACTGAGACGAGCGATATTTTAGGCAACGAAAAATGTTTAGCAGGTAAAATTCACATGGGGGAGAGAAGGAGTTGCCATGGATCAATAAGGTAACTTGAATAATTTATGGAAGCATTCTGGTCGGTGTTATTCCCGCTGCTTAAAATTGTCCCGTGTATTTACTTTAGTTCATTTCGTTTTGCCTAAATGCAATTTTACAGTCATATTAGCCAGGACAAAGATTTTAATGAAATGAAATCCGTTTCATTATTAATAATGTGCAACCAACCTAATTTCCATTTGTAAGAGAACGGGAAAGGAAGCGAATTACAACATGAAAAATAAATAGTGCAATAACAATCCATGCTCTCCTGCTTACATATCGCCATTTTAAAACTTATCAGGCCGTTTCTCCTTAAGTTTTATACCTACCATAATCGAACGTTTCACATGCATTTTAAATTTAATATGCAAATTGTTTAAATTAGAAAGAACCCTAACAAATGTTCATCCCAGCAGTAAAAGGCAAGGGAGCAAACACATCAACATCTTGTGGATAAAAGCAATTGTTTCGTTAAAGTTTAAAAGCGTTCTTTCTGTTAACGTGCTTCTTACACTTGTATATTTGATAGCCGTTTTCGTGCTCTTAACTGTTAACGGTTTTAAACATTTTCAAAAGTCGAAAAAAAATAAATTTTAATTTTAATTGGTAACTATAAATAGATTTCTGTTGGTTTTACTATTGTTAATTCTTCAGTATTTGCTTCAGTGAATTTTCACTCGTTTCTACTTTTCAATTCATCTCACCAAATTTGAAACGCAAATATTATTGCTTTTATGTGCTTTAAACATAGCAGTATTTTTGTCGGTATTGTAATTTCTCATATTCCTATGTTTATTCATCTGACTTTTGGTTATTTTTCATTAATCCTGCTCAAACATTGCCTGTCAGAAAAAGCCGACAACAAATAAACCAAACATAAATGGAAAGACCCACAAAGCAAATTTTCTGTTTCTACCTATGTTGATTAAAAACTGGAAGCCACCATAAACTTTTGTAAAATTTCATATTTATCTCGTGCAGATACTACAATTTCTCCAATTTTTTGTTAATCTAAGTCATTAATAGCGTTCAATGATTATCAATAACTCTGAAACCATTTGATGATTTGAAGCACTATAGTATCAAATGAATACGAAAAAGAGACACTAAATAAAATCAAATCTCTGAAAAGCAGAATTTATGTCCTGAAAGGATATAAAAGGATTTCAGGTAAATTGGACAGTTACGCAGCGATTTCCACTCCGAATCTAATGGTTTCTTATATCGAAATCTTGCCATAAATCAGCTCGATTTCGGCCTTTATCAGCTCGCCGGGTGACAACAGATTCCTGATTACAATTTCCACAATTACAGCATCTTTTTCAGGCGGATTGTATAATAAATAACCAACGTTCAGACGAAAATTAAATTATAAAATAAATGAAGTAATAGTATACATAGATCACTTCAGGATCTGATATTTCAAATCTTTCCTTATTTAGCCGGTAAACGGTTTTAATGCGAACAGTATTTGAATTTGATTAGCTTTGAGACGTTTAGTTAAAGGCACAAATGTAAAAAAGTTCTCAACTCGGATCAGAACTCTTTGCAAATTTATTCTATCCTCGACGTTCAAGGAATATGAAAGACGTATTTACATTTATTTAAAAGTGCATTTTAAAGAGTGCTGCCTGAACTTTAGAATTTATTCGTTTTGCCGAATTACTGGATTGCGACCTATTCATCTTTGATACATATTCAAGCCAATCATAGAAGCTAATTTGACTTTAATTAACATAAATACATACAACTTTATGAAAATCCTGGTTTGAAAACAGTTTTTAATATTTTATCCCTTTGAACATATGCGATTATGGGTAAATACGAGTAGCTGACAATATAAATGCTTTGTTAGTGAATTGTAATCCTTTTGTAAATAATGCCATGTAACTTTGCCGCGAGTGTTCAATGGCGTGCATATAAAATGAAGTTCATGTTTGAGTAGTAGTAAATGATAATGGAACTTCACGCCCCTTGAGAAAAATGCTAATTCCTCATATCTGTTTCAGTTGCTTGTTCGACGGTAACAGTGACGAAATGCCAAGCGGCCCTTCGCACCCTCCAGGCGTTTCCCTTTTTCAAGCCAACGTGTCTTTGTAGAGAGCCCCACATGGATCCCGAATGTAACTCCTTCAGGGATTTCCTATTCGATCACCCCTGCGTGTTTGTCAAGGAAAAAGGTATGTCGACCTTGTCAATCTGCGAGCGAATTTTATGTTTTCCTAATAAAAGAAATGCTTGCCAGTAAATTGACTCCCTATGTCTAAGAGCAAACCAGATTTGTTGGGGTGGGTCTAAGGAAATGGATAAACGTGCGCCACATCTACAAATGGGATCCGGAAAATGAGGCGTTTTATTCACTTGGAAACAAATTGTTTTCCTAGGAGTCGGGTGTATGGGCTGTCCTTTGTTATATTCGTTTTGCTAGTATACTACATGGAAAAACTCTCTAACAAGCAAATGGAAAATACGTTCTTGTTTCGCGGATGAAAAATGACTTAAAAACATGTTTACGAGTAAGGCTTTATCGCTAAGGATTTAAAATAATGTAAAACGGAGATACAGGGTGCAGCTTCAACAATTGTGTATTCCAATATTTTTTCTAATGGAATAAGTATATTTTTTAGCTCCCTTTCATTCGTTGCTACTTGATCGATATTTTACACTTTAAGCTTGGTTTTCAGGAAAAAAGCGCAAAATTCTCAATTTTTATTTTCAGTATCACATTTTTTAGCCGAAATGTAGGCAACAGGTGAGCAAAAAATGATCAGGTCGAACACAAGCAGAAACCTTCCTTTCATATATTTAAATTTTCTCAAAGCTTCTAAGTATGTTGATTTGTATTTAAGGCGCAGCGTTCTACAAAAATAATGTTTGGTATTTAAGGATCTGTTTGCATAAAACTCTCAATTAACCCCATCAAAAGCGGTCCAAGGGTTTAATCTGAACTATCTGACTAAGCGTTTTCTTTGATATAATTACTTTTTTGCTTACCATCTAAAAGTTTATCTGCTTGTGGATAAGAAATTGATATTTTGGGGATATTTTTAGCCGATTTTCCGAAAAATGACATGTGATTCTAAAATCTATTCTAATTCTCTAATCTAAATTCTAAATTTTTATTTTATAATGTAATTTCGTATATTTATGTTAGGTGGATTTGGATTCAATTAAATTTACAGTTACATCAAGTCTGAATCATATTTTGGATGAAATGTGCCAAATGTGGTTTTGGATGGAAGCGTACAGAACAACGAACAAGAGTTTTCGTTAATACATGGTTAATGAAAATTTCTTCCTAAAAAACGGCAAAAATATTTCCAGGTAGATTTTGTCAAAAACATGGCTGGCATAACAGCAAAGTTAAAATATGCAACAACGTACAACATGTATACATTTTACGCATGTTTTTCTTTCTCCACAAGAAACAATTTATTTTTATTGAAAATGAAACCTGAAAGTAAAATGAAAAATGAAAAAATCACCATTGAGAGCTTGATATGAACTCATTAACTTTTGCAATTTTCATTTGGTTCCCATAATGTTATAATTGTTACTTCAACGGGACGCGACATCAAATGCAGAATCCTCTAAGCTCATTCTTGCACAATTTTAACCTCCAAGCAAAAATATATTGAAAAAAACAATTTGTCTAAGTCACTTTCATCCCTATTAATAATTCACCATGTATTTGCAACAGCGAACAAAACTTCCTTTCTGAAATCATGAAATTGTTAGCTAGGCTTTCTTATCTGTCAAAAATAATTTTCCGTCAGCAAAATTACAATACAATACAAAACAAGCACGTACTAAAGTAAAAAAGTTCACGCAACTGGAAACAGAAAAACCTTAAAATAACTTTCCCACTTACTTTCGTTTAATTTATTGCTGCAAACCTCGCTTATGTTGCGCGGCTGTAAAACGCACCGTTTTATAGCAACCTTTCGAAGGGCTTATTTTGTTATCAAACAGCCACAGTAAAGGCCATTCTATAAACTGTTTTTTGCGTTTCTGTATTTGATTTTCGTTCTCAAGTTTGCGAAACTGTTCATTCGATTCTTTGGGGAGCAATTATTGGTCTTAATTTATTCAAGCCTGCAAAGCATCGAGTGTGCCTATCTTAGAATGGGAATTAATTATTTATCTGTTGCTCTGTAAGCGTTCGACACTAATTATCTTTAATTTACTGTGATTTTTTTCACTGGCAATCGACCAGGGATCCATAAAATCGTTGACGAAAATTTTAGTTACCCTTACGATTTGAATCGTCAGTCAGTAAGTTGCTAAGAACGAATCATACATTAAAATTGTCAAAGAACCAAAATAAAATGGGAGTAGAATAGTTGGCCCTTTACATACAAAAATCAAGTGTTAAAACATTCAATAAATTTCACAAAGGTGTAGCTGAAAGTGACGTAGCAAATTGAAGTAATCAAGTTCAATTTGATCAGAACGAAACATTCGTAAAAGTCGCTCGATGCTTTATTTATGAAATATTTATCCGCCACTCACTGTTTCCATTATGTATTGATTTTGCTCGAATGGAAGAAAATAAAACCCAATTATTATTATACTCGCTGCTCTAAGTTTTCAACATTTTCCGATCAGTTTAATTTCCTTCTACTTCCGCATAATTCAATCCTCCTACAAAAATAACCGGAGATTTTATTAAATGAGAGGTAAAATATTATTATTTTCCCACATTGATTTCGAATAAAAGCGAGGAACTTTCGGAATTAACTTTAACGATATCTCGGTCTCTAAAACGGTAGCCGATTGGAGGCGGAAAATCAGATTACAAGTATTGCTTTTTTACCTTGGGACACATTAAGCCATAAAGAGAAAAATAGGCCAATCTCCTCGGTCGTAGCTCTACGAGTTTTATCAAGTCTTACGTGCCGTAAATATCTGGAATTATTTTTTTCCTTCTCGTATTTTTTCTTCACCCATCAGAAATCGACAGGAAGACACAAATCTAATAATGCGAAACTTTGGCGTTCAAAATTACATCAACGCTGCAATCGTGATGTATCGTTTATACAGGGCGGTGATAATAAAATAAAAATTTTTTTAATTCCAAATTCGACAAACAATGATTTGCATGTACAACAACACAAAATCTCTCAGGAGGCCATTGTTCGTTAAGGTTTAAATATTGTCAAAGGATTCGTGAAAACACATGATGGTTTAAATGCATTTGATTAAAGGATGCAGCTCAATTTTCAAGAGATAAATCTAAATATAGTTATGCTTTAAATTTTCACAATATCGCAATATAATAAGTAATTTCACAATATAATAAGTAATCGCGACATTGACAGAAAATGTTGGCTCTCGCAAATAAGTAATTTCCTCAAAAAATTGTTTAATGTCTTTGTAATTGTTTGATTTATTCTTATAAACATAAAAACAGTTTTTTGTTAGCTTAGAAATTGATTGAAATTCGGAACTGAAAACGAGCTTATTTTGACTTCCTGAAGATATTTCAATTTTCACTTCCATATCCCAGTGTAAAAGCCGGAATTGGACGGTGTATGTGACTTTTCCAATAAATCACCGATTATTTCTAGAGGGTTCTTAAGGGAATAGAGAAAATGCTTTTTTTCCTTTAGTCTCTCTCAAGTGGAATATTTAATCATAATTTTAGAACTTGCACATGGAAGAAAGGTACCTTCCACATCTACATTTTCTTGGTACTTCCCAAGCCATCCTTAATAACACCTTAAAAATAACGACTTTTGGAATCATCCTCAATCCTTCTTCCTGTTATACGACTGCATAAATTGTTGATAAATCGTCAATTGACCATTACATGAATGATTAATTTCTATCCCTATGTACTTAAGAAGTCAAACGTGGTCTCAAATGGTAGCCTATCGATTTCACATCAAAATGTATGGAGGCGTTTCTTAATTTAAGTGTATTTAATACACTAGTACAAGAGTACAAAGAAACAACACCGGCAGAGTTGGTGTGCGCTATTTTTAATAGTATTTGATTGATTGCTCTTTATTATCCATTTACCATCTCATTGAAGGAATTATTTATCTAATAAAATATTCTATTTGAGAGAGACATACACAAGCCAGTAAGAATAGAATTACTGATTGTCATTATAATGGGCAATACTTACGCAGGGTTTTTCTTTTGCTTTTTATTGAAATTCATGTGAACTGCGTTGAATTATTGGTCGCCTGCTTTTAAATAATGATCACCATAATGTAGACCGTTTTTTCATACTTAATAAGTGAAGTTGGGTTATTTCGGAAAGCATTGCGGGAATATCTAGACGAATTTTATAAAATTATTTATTGAAACCATTTTTACTCATGGAATAGGGAGTAGAATATTTAAACACGTTTATCAATTTATATTAATTTCAGGTCATTTTGACTATCGCATTTTTATCGATTTAGGTCAATCATGAATTGGCTCATATTGCTCAATTGTTTGTATAGAAAAGTTTATAACCTGATTACTCCCTTCTTATGAAAATATGATTAGCCAGACGTACATTTATTAATCACTGTTTAAAGCAATAAGCAACTCAACCTAGTAATTATCTCAACACATAATCTGGAAAATTGTAATTTAACCTTGCGGGCACTCAAACAATCCATTTTCAATTCTCACATAATTCCGCTAAGCTCTTGGATACTAGATAATTAAATAGAGTTTTATGAAAACCGTCTTTTATTCTCTCCAGTCGGCTAGTAAAAATTGAATGAAATGTCTTTTTTTAGTTACACGTTAAGCGAATTTAAAGAGGATAAAACAAAATTGATTACTTTTGAGAAAGGGAGCGTTTACAAAGGGACGTTTTTGCTTGAAAACATTTTATCTGCTCAGTGCTTTCTAATTTAAAGTTAATATTCGGAAGTAATGGACAATTTTGGAGAAAAAAATATTCACCGTATTCTCTTTTAAACAATATTTTCCACATGTTTTAATCTCATTTTGTCCATTCAATTTGATAAAGCTTTTAGTAAGAAATTTGAAAGCCCCACATGTTCCGGACGTACATTATAGTTGTCAATTATACTGTGGATCTAACAGTATCCTCCTAGCGTTGTATCCGGGATATTCCATTTAAGCGTTCAATTGCAAACTGGTTTTGTGGTAAATTACAAGACATTTGCCTGATATGTATGGGGTGAACCGAGACAATAAAGGCAGAATTCACCGAATGCACTAAATACACAATTTGGCTTTGTTTCAGAAAAAGATCCTTATCCAGTTGACGCTTTGCCAACTTGTACCCACGCCCATTTCGTATGCCAACAAGAGCCGAAGTGTATTAGGCTATACGAGGATTTTAAAACGCATTGCAAAGTTCGGGACAATAAATGTCGAATGGAGGACAGGTGAGTCAGATATATCACCTTTTTCTACTGGTGGAACATAGAGACAAATACAAAAACAAAAGAAACAAATCAATTTAAGGCGATTATTTGCTGCAAAATACGTAACAGTAGTGCTTGATGTGTCTTCTATGAGGAGAAATACGAGTTAGTTTGCAAATGTTTTTATCTTAAAATCAATTAAAAGGCTTATTTTTTAAAACTCTCTATGTTAAATTTTTTTAGAGGCGCCACATACCTTAATTACTGAATAATTCAAACAACGTATGCCGAAAACTGTGAACAGAAACCCTGTTATAAAGCTATAAGAGAGTACAGAAACAGAAATCTTAAAGTAAACATTTTCTATAAAAACCCATCCTATTTTAAGTAGAAGCGAAATAAGCCATTGGTATCAAAGACAAATTAATGCGACAAGTCACCACATTAACAACAATAAAGAGCAAAGTATTTTTTGCCACCGCAATGCGTAACAACATCTCCCAAAAATATTCCAAATAACAACAGAAAATAAAGAAAACAAAAAACTGCTATCAACCGCAACTCCAAAGGACGAAAATACTCGCAAACGCATGTGAGGAGACAGCCGAAAACGGGAAGAAAATAAGTCAATCGGAAAACTCAATTTTGCCAAATATATAGCGAATAATAACACACCAAAAATCTTTCCAAGAATCCAAGCTGAAAAATCAGACAGCAGTTTTTTCCACATATTTCTAAGACGTGCAAAGTTGGAAGATGAAAACATATCTGTTGTTTCTGAAGATCAAAAATGTATAAGAAACAATTTCTGAAATAATAGAAAATTTTACTTACATTACAAAAATTTATTCAGAGAACAGAATTCAAGAATCCGTTAGCAACGAACAAGTAAACATTTAAAAAACCATAAGCTGTAACTATAGTATTGAAGAGTAAACAGAAAAATCAGGCGAATAATAGGAACATTAAATAACACCAAAAGCAAATAAAATACATGAAATATTGCCCCAGTTGGGCAATATTAATGATTTCAATGACACAATAAAAACGCTCAGATCGGAAATTAGCAAAACATATGGAGAAAAGATCTGAAAAATCAGAAAAAGTAAAGATGAAGAAGAAAAACCAAGAAAGCTGTAATTTTAGAAAGTTCCGATGAACGTCGATTTTTTGCGTTGATCACTTTCTTTCATATTTTAACTCACTCTTTACCTAGATCGGTTCTTTTCAGTTTTCCATACATTTCGAAATAAAAAATGTCAATTAATATAATTGAACATTAATAGTTTAATCAACATATCTAAATCGTCACTGCAAATGAAAATCCATTTGGCTGCAGATACATCCCTTATTTCTCACAATTTAGTTGTTAGCAACCGAAAACTTTTGCTCGATAAGAATGGCAGTTGAATTAAACTAACCATTTCAATTATTCACCATTATCTGCACATAGGAATATGTTGCAAAGCCTGCCGGCATTTAATGAGTTTATTCTAGATACGCAGTTTCTGCTGAAACCAGGGTGGAAAATCAGTTATCCTGGCATAACTGCTTCTATGTTAATTTAATAATTTAATGATAAAAACACTGAACTTGTTATACGCTTCGTTTTTCTTTGAAATTGAAATATATCTCCCAGTAATTGCGGTTGAAATCTACGTGGATAATAATCTTATAATACGGTCCAGTAGTATGAATCATGTGCTAATTTCAGAAGCATTCTCAAAATCACAATAAATTGTTTAATTTGCTTGAATTAGTTGATTTTGCAAGCAGAATAAAGTGAATATGAACGTGAACAATCATGAACAATTTTGACAAAATCCAGACAGTATTGTATAGGATATATTTTGTGTCATTTGAATTTTCGGTGCCATTTTACGAACCTTTGACTTGACTGTTTCAATGTGCATTGTTTCCCGAGTTCATTTAAAAAGGTGCAAAAATCTGTCTTACAAAAGTTGCAATCTAAACTCGCACTAAAACGTTCAGGTTCAGCACAAAAAACCGTAACTGTTATAAATGAAGTAAATTAATATTCAAACACCTGAATCATTAATTTTGGCTTTCTCTCATTATAATATTAAATGAAACCAGAAGCAGGTTTGACAGGTTAAAGGATTTTGGCCCATTTCAAGCAGCAACTCGGTATTTAGTTGAAACTTTTTAGGTGCCCGGGGCTTTACAACTTATGCAGTGTATAGAGCAGAGGAAGAATGCTATGATGAGTGAACATTATTTTCCCAAACTTTCAGGCCAATTTACGTATTCAAGTATTATTAAACAATCATTTCTTTTCAATGTGTTTTGTTTGCTTAAACCTGCACATTCAAGAAATATTTTGACCTGCAAAAGTTCAAAAAATGTTGACAAACGTACCAAAAATATTTTATAAAATTAACAATAAAAAATCTTGAGCGGAATAGATCCCACTGTACAAAATAAGTCAAATACTCCAAATTTAGAGATATTTTTAGTGCCAGAAAATTACTGCGAATTTCTATGCAAGCTTCTTCACATTCAGACAAAATAAGACAAAAACGAACTGATCATGCTAATTTATAAATTGTTTTTTGATCGTTTTTACGCGTGCAGGAGTGTAATATTTAAAAGTAAAACCAGTGCCAAAAACATGCAATTAATATGCTATTAAGAACATTTTTTTGTGTCGCGTCGTTTTAACAGTAACGATATTTTTCAACTTCAAAAAATTTCAAATAAAATTCATTATCCTCAAATTAAGCGATTATGTGATTCTCACAATACACAGGAAATAAACACTTTCGGAACATGCGAATATAGCATTCAATCACATTACAAATTTACAGACAGCAGTAAAAATATACGGAACATTTTATTATAAGTTAATTAGCTGTTATTTCCAGAACTGTATTCTTGAGACTCCATAATATTCTATAGTGCTGCAGCACGAGTTTTAAAATAAGTCTTAAGATTGTATTTCTAGGATTAAGAGTATTTTAGGGTTGCTCTAGTTGAAATTTCCCAGAAAACATAGTTAAGGAATTTAGTTGTTCAAAAAATTATTTCCCATTTTGAAATAGTAGAGCATAATATTTTCAACAATTTTTTTTGCTTAGGACTTGCAGATTTTTGGTTGTAGTAGCAAACACTGAAATTGTTTCCATTGATTTAAGGACAGATTTTTATGGAAAACGTATTACTTCATATAAACATTTTTTTATAGTCATAGTCAAAATTATCTAGCCGTGTCTGACTCTCTTTGTTTTTTCGTTTTTATTTATGTATTGTATATACTTCTAATTGCCTTGTCTCTCCTGTCTATCATTAAGTATTCTGTTGCTTTCATACCTGAATATTTCGAGAATTATCCCTTTATTGCTCTGAAAGAAAGTTCTTAATCCTTCAGTCAATCAGGAGAATTTATGATTGTTTTTGATTAACTCTATTTTTTTATGGGCAAAATTGACTTAGATGCTGACTATGTCTCAAATCCGCTATGCTGGATTTTTTGAATTGTACTTTAATTAATTAATCAATTAATTGTATTTTCAGACAACTGTGCTTTGAATCATGGTCCGGTCTTCGTCGTTCGCCGATGTTCGGATGCATCTGTCCTAATAATCACATGAAAAAAAGATGCGACCGAATGTTCAGCATGGTGAATCACAATCCGTGTGTTGGTAAGTTAAAAGGTATCTATGTAAATGTTAAGCTTTGACTCTTATCCCTGCTTAGCTGATGATTTCTTATAAAAAGTTCGAATTTCTCGCCATTGCGGGCTGTGAAGTTTTTATGCTGTTTATTTACTTTATATGAAGTTATTTACAACCTGCCATGTAATTGGCAGTAGGCTGAAACCCAATTTCGATTATACTCTATCACCGATAATGCAGCCAGACACTTACAATTAACTAAAATAGGTCACATTCGTCGTGACGATAATAAATCAAGCAAGACTACGTGATTTTACAAATTTTTATTTACAGTCTTCTATTGACTGTTTAAGCCACTCGTGTAAAGGCACTTTGAAATAACAGAGCCGTGGAAAGTTTTTAGGCCAACGACTGAAATCAATAAATGTATAAACGATCCAGGCAGCTTTCAAAATATTCAATTTATTCACGAATTTTAAACTTCAACAACGTGGAAAACTTGAATTTATATAAATTTCAGTCGGGCTTTCAAATGTCGATGGATTATGATAAAATATTCTACTTTTTTACAGAGAATGTTAGTTTATTTTGAGTGCCTATTAATTGAGATGTTGTCTAGTGGTTTCGTATGAAACCGACTGGCCAAATTGGTCAGTCTATTTCAAACCGAATCAATTCGGATTTGTTGATTCACTGTGGTTGTTTCTTCTAGGACCCTGTTTATTTTACCTTACTTTCATGTTGGAATTTATTATCGTTAAATAGCTTAAAAATGTCGATGGTCTTGATAGCGTCTTTTCGTGTTCTTCACTTATTTTTCTGCTTACATATTTTCTTGCTAGGTATTTTGTTATCTTTTAATGTTTTCTTGCCTTGTCTTGCCGGTAGTCATCTCTGAAAGCCGCTTTCAAATATTGGTTCTATTTCCCAAATTTCCTTGCAATGTTTGTTGTCGGTATTTTCCATCAATTCCCGCTGCCTTCTGCATTCGTGTTGCCTCTTTTATTTACCTGCACAAGTTCAACATATCTCGCTCATTTTTCAAGTCTCTTCTTTCTTTCCCGTTTTGCTTTTTTATCTTCCTTCTAATATTTTGTGAACTTTTTAGTATATTTGCTTGCTTTTGTTTCGCGATTTTTTCTTTCTTGCATTTGTCATGCACAGGGCCTATTTTGGTTTGTGTTCACTCGAATTCATTGTTCGAATACATTTTTCAAAATCGTTTTCCTGTTCTTGTGTTGCCTTTGACGCATTTTCTTCGAATGCTGCCTTCATTTTTTTTGTGGCAAATCTTTTTCTGTCTAACTCTTCCAATCGCTACAAGAAGAATGTGGTCGGCTGCCGGCTTAGATTTGACTCAGTTTATAAAACATTTTAAGATTTAGTTTACAAGTACATTACACAATTTGCTTACGAATGATTCTTCCTTCAATTTCATCTCCTTATTATCATTATGCAACAGTCATTTTTCCGGTAGAAATTTACCTTTTCCTTAAAGGATTATACGCTAAACTAAGTGCATTTTCAGTTTTTAAAATTCTAAAACATTTCACTGGATGTGTTTCGCTCGGAAATTGAATTTACTGTTTACAAATGTGCAAGTGAGCGGCTGACAACTGATCCATTACGATTATTTGCCAGCTGACAATGGCACCGTTTCACCGGAATTTTTCTCAATGCTAGTCAACAGTTAAATTTTCGTTAATACATCACACATTTTCCTCAAGCAGAATATATATTAAAGACACTTCACGGCTCTCGAGTCGTAAATTTCATCGAATTTGGCACTTCGGAGCGTCCCAACGCCAGTATTTTATTCTAAAATGGACTTTCTGGCCTTAACGGTAATTGACCTTCATTTCTCCAAACTTCGTTAAAGTTTTTTCTTCGATACTTCACGTTATTACAGCAAAACTTTTCAAATATCCCGGTAACGAGTTTAAAACTTTACGTGAACGAAATATAGATTTCGGGAGAATCACGTCTGTAATTAATGATCTATCGATCTCAATCATGATTTTTTCATTACTGGATTTGCACGATTGGCTGACTTTTTCTGGAGTTTTTGAATAATCACGATATTCCGTAAATACTTAGCCGACAAGTTACAAGTTTTAATTAAAAGAGCAACATTTGCAAGAATCCCGAAGCTCGCCCAGAGTCAGAATCAAAATATGTTTTTTTCTACCACTTGTTCACTTATATTGAAAAAATTGCTTTAAGTTGTAATCCTTTTCATAGATTGCCTGTTGAAAAATGAATGACCTATTTTAGAAAATCAATTTGCTAGTACTGCTAGAAAGATGTGAGCGTGTTGTTTTCTCAATAAATCTCTACAAATCTCTCAGCATCACTAGTCACTTTCGTCAATCACTGATCCTCTAAATTAAGGCGAAATGGTCCGGAAGCGATAGAGCCCGAAGTGTAGAACGTGGAATTTTGACTCTGTTTTATCAGCTCAGAGTCAATTAGACACAGGAAACATTCTCAGAGGTGTTAGCGAGTATTTCAAAGAATTCAGTGGTATTCCACAATTTGGCCACAATGCAAGTTTCAGGTTTATTCATTAAATGTTTCCACTGATTTCAGAATTTTTGCTTCTTTGATTTCTATTCGATTTCACCGTTCTACATTTGGAAAAATCCTAAGTATGATTATCTCATCATTTTCAGTAAAAGTGAGCACGTGGTTAATTGGTAAAGAGATGTAAAACGTAATAAACAGCATTAAAACAAACCCCAGAAATAAGGTACTGACAAAGCCAATAAATCGTGTTTCATTTCAAAAATAATTTAGACGCTCTGTTTAACTTACCTAAACTTCACAATTGCACCTAAAGTACTGTTTGTGGAAAATGTCATAATATAATTAGTTGCCCTTTTAACTGTCTTACAACGTTTAAAAAAAGTTATATATAGACAAAAGTTTTCCACTTTTAATTTGAAAAGCTGAACGTTCCTAATGCCATTATAGCACTTTCTATTGAGCTGCTCTTGTTCTAGTTTGTAAAGTTGGCTCATGTAAAAAGTTTAACTGAAGCAGCAGCAACGCCAATCGTTCTAGGATTTAACTTTACGATGAAAGTCAAATTGAGAGGAAAACAATTGTACAATGATTTTCAAAGGCATTTTCCCCTTTCAGTCAATTTTTGCATGACAAAGCACAGATATAGTGGCACCGACACTGGCACATCCGCAAACTTTGGCACAAGAGTAGTGTGCATTATTAACTTGGTAGCGAAGATATCGTCTCCGAGGTCTTTTCTTCAGTTGCAGCTGTAAACTTTTACGGTGAGACAAAGCAATGTTTAGATATACTGAACAACAGAAGTATACACCATTTTCTTTTTATTTAGTGGAATGTTATTTGACAGCAATGAATTTTTAATATATTCAGCTTGTGCCCATGCGGACCATAACAGTATCGTAGAGGGCAATTTACAACCAATCTCATCCAGTAGTATTTGTTGACAGTAGATGTAGCCAGATTTTCACATTTCCCTTTAACTATTCAATTGTTACAGCTTCCCTTAAATTTTAATAATTAACAAATGTTTTGTGTTAGAAAGATTTGCTTCTTTTACAGTTGTAACCAAATCAGCCTCTAGTTAACAATAAACGATATTTACATTAGAAAAACATCAACGATTTTTAGCTCAAACACAATATTAAACTTTTTCTAGCTTTCCCGTTTAGCTGAGCTTAGAAAAGCTCCTCGAAAAAAATATTTTTTGCAAGAAAATGCATAAACCTGGTTTGAATAAAGTAATATCGACAGCAAATTGTTGTTCCCACTTCTCTCTCAATCTACTTTTGCTGTTATTCGTTTTGCCCATTTCTATGTATCGAATTGGCGAATGCCATCAAAATTACGATTCACCTCATTTCATAGAACGTGAAAGCAACTTATTTCCGGCTTTTCTTGCTTTAGAGTTAACAACTCAAACATACTGAGAATTATATTTAACTGAAACGATGCTTACGATAAGACAAATCACGTGAAACTGAAATAAGTCGAAATAGCATTAAAAATATACAGATTATTTTCTTAATGATGAACACTGGTGTCTGGAAAATGATTGAATTGAAGATAATTGTCAGTAAATGGCACATGAAATGCAAATTGTTATTAATGAAATGCCTAAAATCGCAAGGTAGTAGAATAAATTGGGCGTTAAACTTGTTAAAAAAACGAAGCCAAAGGCGAAAGCAGAAATTGAGGTAAAAAAGAGAGATTTTCTTCAACGCTTTGGAATAATTGTATAAAAATCGACGGAAAGGACCGAAACATTCTCATCACAACTCTGGAATAGTTGGAGCGCTTTACTAGTGTAACAGGTTGTTTTTAGTGAAAAGTTGAATAGAAACTAGACACTTATAGTGAGCATGGTTATGGGCACTTTCTAAAGTTTTGCACTTGATTCATCAAGATTAATTCCCGTTATTGTTAAAGTTTTCATTTCATTCGCATTATCAAAATCACTAATTTTACTCTTTGTAATGAAGTACTTTAGTTGTTAAGGAATTATTTCCCCTTAGGCAACGCGCAATCTGAAAAACTGATGGAAAGTGCCGTTCTATTCCGTAGAGTTTTAAGAGCCCCTAGCAAATAACCATCAAGTAATATATCCGAGAAGAGATTGGAACTAATTACAGAGAATTTGTAGATTTTTCAAACTTTACCTACCAATATTTGGCCTGGGTGGTGTAGAAATGCTTTACTTTAACACATAACAATGCTTCTAAAATACAGCCCTGCAAGGAAGGTTTTATGAAGAAAAAAACATTGTTGAAGATGTCCCAAACTCGATAGTGGTTAAGTGGTTTTGCAAGAAGTTGCAAATATTTATTTTCTAGTAAATTTTGTGCATCAGTTATCATACAAAAATCATCCACATTAAATTGAGAAGATACTTTTAATAAAATTTCATGAAACTTGGGAATAAAAAATACGTTAATCTACACGTATCAACAGTTGATATATGTTCGCTATAGAAACACGTTTTTATTACCTTGTTTGATAAATACTCTTTGATTTTAGTTGAAAGTGGGTTTTTCTAATTCAATCAAAATCGTTTCGGCGTTTCCAAACAGTTTCGATTCAGTCAAATTGAATAAATCATGTGAATATTTGACGCTCATCTTGAAAGGCACGTAGAAACTCAAATGCCACTATAAAACGAACGGTTTAAAAACGTAAATACGTAAAACATTTACACAAGCACAACCAGTACGGATTAGTTGATTAAAATTTTATCGAATGGATAGGTTTAAATATAGAAATGTATATCAGTTATTTGTTATTTGTCGTCATTTAAGGCGCTGCTCCACATTACATTGTGTTAATCAATGTTTCTGTGTTTCAAGGCTTTATCTTTACCTGAACTTAATTATTTTTTGTATCATTGTGATTCTAAATCGCTTTACCTCAGCTTTCTTCTCAGGATCTCAGGAAGCGTGTCAATTCTTCACTCTTTCCAATATTTTATTAATGGTTTTAACCTTATTTTGGTGATATTGTTTCGCGGCAAACATAATGTAAACAATAACCATTTCAGTTCTTTTAAACCTGACTGATCTACAATATCTGGTTTTTCTATAAGCGGATATGCTTTGATTTTTCCGTAAAATCTTACCTTTTCTTGTTTTGAATATTGAATTTTTCAGAAACTGGAGGTTGAAGGATTGCTATGAATGCCGTTGTTTATTTCATAACGAATGCATCAACAGTTTATTAATTTATAGAACATTGTTATTAAAAACCAACAACTGTTTCAAATAGTTTAACTGTTTTTCATAATAATACTTTTAAAACCTTGAATTTTTCATGTTGTGAATGACCAACAACAAGGAAAATAACTTAATTTTTTAGCCACAAACAGAAAAGTTAAATGGTGTATAATTCTGCCGCGTTACACTCGCCTGAGGCTATTTTTTTCCATATTCTCAACAAAGAACAACATGTTTCCAGGTAAAAATATGTAGCTGCGTCAAATGCACTGGGTGTCCCATGAATAATGGGACAGGCCAGAAGACTTGGTGGAAAAAAAGCATTTGATTCTGGCTGAAACCGGTAGTATCATAGTAGAACTGATTTATTGTAAAGAGGCAATAATTTCTTCATATTCGTCACATATATTAAAATACGAAATTGTAGGAGAATTTGCTTAACTACTTCTAGCAACACGAACAGAGTATTATTTATTCGGACCGGCCACTTTTGCTAGTTTTTCTTTCTTGGCCTGCAACATTTGAAATTTTAACGTGGAAGAGATCAAATTGATTCACTTTTGTTCAAATAGCTTGAAGCACAAATATCTTGAAATAAAAATTCCTTAGACATTAATCGATAACATTCCGAATGAAATTAAACAATGCTGAAACTTGTTAGTGAAAATAGAGACACAGAGCAAAACATTGCATATTTGAGCTTTTAACGATTTTCCTTGAAGGGACTAATGCAACCAGTAACAGTTTTCCAACGAAAACTTTTGACAAATGCCTTTTTTCTACCCAGCATGTAATCTCATAATATCGCACTAGTTGCTTAGTCAGCGACACAAACTGACTCAGCAAAAATTTCAAAGTTAAGGAACTGAAGTTAAAAACGATATGGAAATTAAATAGTCTTAGCACGAGTAAGTATGTACAAAGTGAATACAATCAAATTATTTGACCCGGCATAATTTCAGCATCCAATAACTTATCATCGCCATATTCGGACGAAATCAGCTACAATCCATTCATCGACGGTACCAATGGACAAGAAGCGCATGCTAATTCCAATCATGTTTCCTTTAACATCTTAAACAACGACAAACTGAACAAGGATCATAAGACCCACTACTCATATCCGGACGAAGAAGACCTGCAAACCATTGAGCAAACATCGCATCATTTAGGGCCATCAAGTAGGTATTCTAAATGTCGTGACTTGTGCACCTAACTGTTTAACATAGATACGTATCTACTACGTTTGCGAGCATCTGAATGGGATGTTTATTTGCAACTTCTTCCTTGCAAATTCACTTAACCTCTGCTCTCTGCGAGAATATTTCTGTAGGAACGAACATATTTTCAACAATAAGTTGCACTTATTTTAATTTAATGTTATCAACTTCAAAATATTTCTTTAATGCTAATTGTAGAATAAAATTGTTACAAACTGAAACGTATATTAGTTATGCATGAAACAGTGGTTTTGGTTTGATTGAAAATATGTGCAAGTCCCGGTTACGGAAGCGGAAGAAATGGGACCGGAAACATTTGGTTCCAACATGCACTTTAACAAAATTTTATAAAGTTATTGAAATTAAATTAAGAAATAAACGTTTTTAACGAAGCAGCCAAATTAACTGCATTTCTGGCGAGAGACGCACATGAGTGTCGTATTATAACAAATTATGAAAATTCAAGCATCACAGACGGGATTGAAAACGGGGTGACTGCCAATTTTTCACCCAACATCTGCAGTTATTTACAGCAAAATGTCCTCATAACTTCTTCTCAATTCAGCAAAATTAGCTTTAGACAATTCCGGAAAACTGGGAAGAAATATATAAAGCATAACGTTATTCTTTTAGTCTAGCAAGTTTCCAATGTTTAAGGAAACAGAAACACATCGTTTACAATTCAACATTCGTTACAGTACAGAATGAACGCTTTTGAGGACGCAAGACTGTGCGCAATTTTTTGAAAATTTCTATTAATTCGAATGCAAGAATATCCGTTATTCTTGGAGACCATTTAAAGAAATATTCTGGATTCAATAAACATGCGTTCTTAAGCTTATGGCACAGGATAAATAGACAACTATCTTTTGGCCAGTTCGTAATTCCCGCAGAAATATTAAGGTGTTCATTTTTTTTGTTTATCTGGTAACTTAAATTGGGCCCAAAAACCTTACTAGAACTTACACCGCTGGATGTGAAAACGTAGTTAATTTGCAAACACCTTGTAAGCACTACATACAGCCTTCTAACAGCTAATTAGGCTAATCATGCTATAGTTAATGGAAGTTTCGAACATGTTTAGATTTTGTTCGTTCGTAGGGCGGTCTAGGTCAGCTAGTTTTTGTACAAGGAGACATTTTACCCAAAAAAAAATAGTTTTGTTAGATAAAACAATGCTTCCATTTGGCAATCAGTTTCTAAAACCATTCTTTCCCACAAGCCTAATTCAACTATGCAAGAACCCATAGAAGTTTAAAAATTATAATCGAGCTTCTAACTGCAGATGACCCAAACGTACATTCATTCTAGTTTTTTTTACATTTTCATTAATTCAACTATATTCCAAGCTCATATTCCAGTGCAATCGATCTAAATATAGCCAAGCAGTAATTAATGTCACATCAACGTTTTCGATGGAAGTATTTAAAAGCGAACAGATACCCGAAAATTTCACAGAATAGATTTGATTTGTATCAAAATCGATCAGCTCGTTGGTTTGACCTTTCAGTAATAATAGAAGACTTAATGGTCTACAGTTAATTTAAACCCTTCAACCTCAAAGTTGGTTCATTAACGGAACTTCACCATGTTTTTGGTATTATTTCCTTTTGAATGGGTTTTCTCTTTTCGCAAAACTTTTGAAGAATAACATTAATCGGTTTTGTACTGAGCGGGGAAAATTTCATTTAGTTTTTTTCCTTGCTCTAATACAAAGCGTTAAGATTGACTAAACTGCACATGAATGACATTAGATTAATTTTTATAAAGAATCATTAGTTATAAAAAGAAGCAACCAGTCCTCCTTATTTGAATGAGGAAGACTGTTTGTTGGAAAAAAATACGTTAAGCAAAGTCGTGAGCAAAGCAATTTCAATTCATTTTTAACAGACTTTTTTCTTTAATTTGTCATACTTACTTAGTTCGATTTCTACATCCAAATTTCCGAAATCTGTTATATTAATTAAACTCAAAGTTCTCATCGATCTTGGCTCAAACAATTTAGGCATGTTGCATAACAAATATATGCATTGTTGAAAATGAAAATAAAGGCAAGCAAATTCTCATCACGAAAGTGTTTCGGCAATAATTGACGACTAAATGTTTTAACAGCGAAATGCTAAATGGAGACAGTTAAAACAGATATTTTATGCTGGCGCAAAACAGTTTAAACAGGAAGGCGACATTTTAAGGTCGTGTAAGTATCGAAGAATATATTATTGGAATGAACGATTAATTTGGAAGTGTTCTTATGCAGGCTCCACAGGCTGCAGATTCTTGCAAAACATAAACTTATGCGCGGATGATTATTGCACTTATAGTGTAAACGTAGGTAGATAGTTAGCGGTGCAGTGCCTTAACCAGGATGTGAAGACATTTCAGAACCAAACTGTGCATGCACTTGTAATTTAAAATAAAATCTGTATTCGAACTGCAATTGCATCGGTTCCGTTCTTTGGAACATATCCGATTTAACCTGTAGGATACAATGGGAAAATCTTAACAAAGACGACGTCTTTTTAGGTAATTCGATCGACCCGGAAAAAGAAAGACTGGTTTTACAAAGCACTTGTCACAGCGCAATGGATAGCTGTAACAATAACTACCACTGTCGAATGCTGCTCGCCCCGATTCTACATCACTGCGACATTTCCCGTTGCAACCGAAACTCCTGTATGGAAGCACTTCAGACATTTTATGGAAAACCGGATTTTCCTTGGAACACGGAGATCGGCTTTTGTTTGTGCAAGTAGGTATTTTCCGGCGCAAAACTCGAAACAAATTGTTACAAATCTCCCCCTGATTCTTAAGAGCATTACTTAACTTTCCCCCCTTATGCACTTGGCTACCTATTTGTCATTCTATTCATTTGACTGAAAAAATATTATGTAAAATAAAAAATCGTCAATAATAGAAATGGACTAATAAAGTTTAACAATAGACACGTTTAATTCCTGAATTCATGAATTAATTTTTTTTCAATATTTTATTATCTGAGCAACTTTTCTAACGCAATCTGTGTAATGTAACCGAAACTGCCTCAAATACCTACGTACAATCCGCGCCTAAGAAAAAATGAAATTCAAGTAAAATATAGATTTGTCCACTTGTAAAATGGCGTTTTTTATCATCATATCTTATCAAAAAGTGGCACAATTACATTTCCACATAAAGTACCACTAATATAAGTTTTAAGTTAAGTATATTGTTAACGTTGAACTCGAGGACCTGATAAACTAGAAAATGACTTTTTCCCTCAATTTTTGTTGGGACAAATAATGAATTCCAAAAAAAATAGTTTTGAAATATCTGGCAAAAGCCAGCAGACATAGAAATTTTGGTCAGTTTTGGTCTATTTACAGCACCCACAACAACAATAAAATTATATTTTCTTTATCTTTCCTTTTCATAGGTCTTTAAGTGTTTCTTACATAGAAAATTTAGCCTTAAGCGATCAAAGATTAACCCGGCCATTTCTAGACCCAAATAGGTCCGATTCGACATTTCCATCTTGGGAAAGTCCCCAAAACAGCAAAGAAACCCCCAAAATGATGCAAAATTTCAAAAAAATTGGGAATGTTTGCGAATTTACACCGGAGCGAGCCGAATAAGCTATAGAGCATATTCGAACTCTTAGTTTTACAGATTTTCAGAAAGATTGCGCATCGTGTTCTCATCATCCTGTATATTCACTGTAATTTTTCTTCTTAGGCTTCTTTTTAACTTTTAACAGTTACATACAGAGCCGCAATAATAAAACTAACTTTTATTATATCGGAGGTACAAAATAAAAAAAATCAATAAACAAATATGGGTATATAAAAATTTTACGAAATTCTAGTAGTTGAAATTTTTTAATTTGTTTAGTAAAAACAAGCCGGCATAACATCACATTTAAGGAAAAATCGGATGGTTTTCTAATTACATTTTCGCCGAATTAAAATTATGAATTTCTTCTTTTCTATTCGAAGTTGTGAAATATCAACAATCTAATTTTTGCGCATCTGGAAATTTATAATCATTTATCTATCAGGTTTCGACAAATATTGCAAAACCAGATTTTGCAATTCCAGCAAAAAACCGGAAGCGGAAAAGCCGGGAAATCGTTATCCTAGCATTAAAACACTTCACCATTTATATTAAATTTAATCTAGCAAAAAAATTCAAATAGCTTTATCGGCATAATTTCAGTTAATGGTCGAATTTTAATTGGTTTAAATTCAAATTGCAAGTTTGCATATCATTTTTAGCTTCATTCTGGTCTTCGGATCAACGACAGAACAAACGAGTTTAGTGTTTGCCTTTAAAGTTTATCTTCATTTGAAGAAAAGTTTCCTTTAAAACCTCCAGGAATCTGATTTCAACGTTCATAATTAGATTATTTTCAAAAGTTTTGAAAAGTTCTTCCTCATTTGCTTCGCATCCATTGTCATTTTTTGCTGAATTATTTTACTAATATCTAAATAACTATTTCAACATACTAAATCACTCAAAACTGAATAAAACTTTCTAGTTTTAAATAAAAATAGCAAATTCCCCTTTCTGCATTATTTAAAATAAACACTTTAAACTAAGTGGGCACAAAACGTTGCGACAGACGTTTAAATGAAATATGGATATTCAAAGCACGGGCAAAAATTGTTCTTTCCATTAAATGTAACTCTCTTGAGTAAAAATGTGCCATTTCGAAGGAAAAAAATGAAATGATTAGAGATACTTTTATTTGCACCGTTAAAATATATAATGCAAATTGCTGATACTCATTCACGAATTTAATAATACATATTTGCGTTCAATGAGTGCCAATGGAGCAAACCCGCTTCCGAATTTGCCTTTATTTGAATTCTCTTTTCCGCTTTGCAAACTAATTTTTAAATTGGCTCTTCAATGGTTCTCGCCCTTAGCGTTTCTGGATTCTTTTGCTTAGATCACTCTATAATTTTAACTTGGATTCTATTGCCTTTATTTTTAAAGAGAATGTCTTGTGTGTTCTCTATTTTCATCAATTGCAGCTTGCTGAGGGCGGTACGCGAGAACATGTCTCTGAAAAAAACCAGTAAAGGGCTCAAATCTTTGTAAATGAACACATATAATTAAATCGCCTTAGATTGGCTTTTTCTATCATCCGTTTGCATTACAAGTTAAATAAAGAAATAAATACACAAACTATGGTAAACAAATTATCATAGTATTTTTTTGTACATGGTGTTGATAATATTAAGGGCATTATCTCGTTTTAAGCCGAAAGGCCTCTATAGACAAAGGTATTGAAATGAAAAATTCTCTGCAGGCACTCACGAAATTAAATTTGGAAATGGCAATAATGCATGGCTCTAATTAGCTATATATTCTTCAGGAAAACGGAAAACAAGCACGACGCATGCTTAATGGCTCAAGAGAAATTGCATCCGGTTTGTGCACAACGGATTGAAGAATCGCCCCAACCGACCTGCTTGCATTTAGCTGAAGTGTGCAAAGAGAACTCGGCTTGCAGGTAAAGTAATTAACATCTAATCCTGATATGTCATCGTATATTTGCAGGATTTTGCCATTTATTGCCAATTGTGGCAATTGGCATTGGGATCCGAACAAAACTCATAAATTTTAATTTGCCCAGTATATTACTAAGTCAGACAATAGCATATTGCTTAATAAACCAGCAGTTAGATGGTTTTTTAGACGTATTTTGATACTTGATGGCCTTTTCTTGAATTCACTGGGCTTTTTTAAAATCGCAACCTACGAAAAATTCGTGGAAGTAAATGTATTTTTTTTAAATATAAATTTTCTTTAAGGACAAAACTGGAAAATTACGAGCAAGCTTGTGCGGTTGACAGTGTTACAAGAAAATGTGCGGGATCGGTTTCGGAATGCAGAAAGTCCATTTTGGCAATATTGGGTACCGATCTACGAACCTCTTGTGCCTGCAAAGGGTCTGATCAGAGCGAACTCTACAACTGCCTAGGATGGCAACGCATCCTTTGGGTAAATCCTTGCGTCGGTAAGTGAACGATTTCATTTTATTTAAATTTTTGCTCAATATGTAATTATGAAGAGCTGTTGAAAGGGTGCATTTTAGGCTCGTATGAGTTCATTTAGGCCTTAGAAGAAACCTGATATTGGCGGTCATAAAAAATATTGCATTGATTACAAAAATAAATTAAAACATACTACTTTTGACTAGGAAAGATATAATAGATGCTAACCGCGTATCCCTGAGTCCGAAAAAGATAATTGGGCGCACAATGAATGACAAGGAAACGAAAAACCATAATCATCAAGTAAAACTTACAACATATTTACGACGATAACAAAAAATATAATACCGAAACCAAGTACTAAATTAAAAAAGAAAATAAAAAACTAAAAATAAAAAAT